CAAAACAACAAAACGGAACGTTTAAAACTGATTCTACAATCGATCAAATCACTGTCCATCTCGGTCGGATCAAGTATGTTATCCCTCACATTATATATTGTATACTGTACAGTAGAGATGTGCAAAATGGTTTTTCAAAAGTATTTAAATACAAAATGCAAATACTTCTTTGATTTGTTATTTCAAATGTAAAATACAAAACAGATTTCCCTTTGTATTTTAAATGCTAAATGCAAAATACGTATTTTCAAAATACTTTTTTCAATTAAATACGTTTTTGTAGTACCTATTTAATTTTCTACATTTAGTTAAGTATAAAATATTGTTTATGATAACCTTGCAGGCATTTGCTCATTTTTAAAATATTGTAGTTTTTCTAGACTAATAGTGGTGTTTGTACTATATCACCAGCTGCGAAGATTGAGTATGATTCATATTTTTCTGTTTGGAATGATTAAGGTATAGTTTTTCTACCTTTATGTTATAGTTTCTTCAGTTCAGCATCAAATAATTTTTCTATATGCTTCCTTATTTGCCTTTGTCACCCGTTTCAATTGGAAAAAAGACACTCATAACAAAAGCTTGCTTAACGTGAAAGATCAGAGCCAAAATAAGGTTGCAAATAATTTTATTGATGTAAAATCAGCATCAATCATTTTATATCAAAATATTTACAACCCCGTTTTATTTCTGATTTTTTACACATTGTAGTAAGAGAAAGAAATAGAATCCGTAGTTTCTTTAGCTTCGGGTTCATCTAATAAGTGATGTTTTTCCAATCGTATTCTGAGAATTTTTGGATTATATGCATTTATTAGCACATCACAATATCTTGTAGTTTTCAGTTTTACATAGCTAGCATTTGTCATTTAGATATTGTTTAGGGGGCTGTTTTGTAGTAATTCAAAGAATTTCGTAGTTCCTTCCTGATTTGACAGGTATTGATATCAATTTGGAACTTCACAATTCCATGGATCATGACATTGAACCCGGAAAACAATATCGATCCAATATTTTAGATTATCCATTTCCAAGGAGTTAATAATTCTTTGGGCTCTTTTCAGTTGAAGAATTAAAAGGCATTCATGGAATGACTTTTTGGCCCCTTTTTAAGCTTCTAATATCTTCAATAACCAATATAAGCAACTTTCATTAATCATTTTATATAATGTTTGATCGGTGATACTAGCAAAACTTTTAAAAGCAAAAATGTATTTTGCATTTTAAAATAGAAAATACCTTTGGAAAAGTATTTTTAATAAAATACAAAATGTTTTTCTCAAAAACATATTTAAATGCAAGATTTTTTATTTGTGTTTGCATTTTAAATGCAAGTATTTCAAATAAATCACATCTCTGATTACACTAATCACTTGAGAAATTGTGATATATAGAGATCGCCGTAAACTAAAGTTTATGTTCTGTAAAAGTCGTTCGATATTCAAGTAACTTGAACTATTTTATTTTTAGTGTTAATACCAGGGATATTTCGGACATTCGCGTCTATAACCGCGAAGCATCTGCATGTATTTTACAATTTATGATCGGATACTTTTTCTTTATTTTAAATATACTTACTAGTAGTAGTAGTAGTATAGTGGTATATAAATCTCTGTTTGCTTAAATTAATTTTGCTGTGAAAATATTAGGTAGTTATTACAAATTTTCGAAAACGTCTAGTTGTCTGGTTCAGTTAACTCAATTAGTGCCTGAAAAGTATTTGTTATGCAAATTTCGATAATTAAAATAAAAACTTCAAACTAGAAATAACTTTTACAAATCCCATGAATGACAATTTGTTAAAAATTTAGGATTGTTTTATAAATTAGGAATGATATATTTAGTCCCGTCTTTCAAACCTTGAAGGAAGTACAGACAGAAACAGCGGAAAATGATACTTTTATTTAATTAAATTATTATAAATTACAATTAGTTGGACCTATAAGTAAATAGGGTTACTTTAAAGTTTAAAGACTGGGGTAAAATCAAGCAGGAATGTTTACAGTCAATTCAGAGTGAACATAGTTGATTTCTTCAGAAACAACATATTCCTACCCTGAGTTAATCTGGGAATTGCCCTGAAAACTGTAACATCCCACACCCATAACTACTTGCGAGCAATTCCTAATCTAGGTCTTCTCTGTACATCTTTACTTTCGATTTTTTTCATCCATTGGTGGTAACACTAATGGAGTCGTTTGCCAACGTTTCGCCAACAATTCAGTCTCACAATCAGTACAATCATCGTAGGATTTGACGCTCTTGCTACGTTTCCTGTGGTGGTTAACCAAAGCTCTTAACGAAACGTTGGTTAATCGACTCTATCAATGTTCTCACCGTAAAAGGAGAAGTAACAACCTCGTGAAGGCCTTAGCCTTTTTAAACTTTTTGGAATTTTTAAATTAACCATTTGTAATTTCTTAGTTAAAAACGACACCACCCTGAGCTACTATTTATTTTAAAACCCATGTTATCTGACTTGCTAGAAACCACAAATTGGTGGTAGTTTTAGAGGTTTCAGATGAAACAAGAAAAAGCCCCGGTCCATACTTTTGTATGTCAACAAAATTTGTTCAATTCTGTTGACAAATTAAGCTCATTATTATCGACCCATTTACTGCTAACGTTAGACTTTGGCAGTTCTGAAAATATTTAATTTAATTCCAACGTAGAGATTCAATTTTAACATGTTAACAACTATTTGAGGAACAGTTTGACAGTAGCGGTCAGGCACATGATGAAAGCACATTAATATATTAATGTGTTGTTAAATCTTTTGTACGTAACGTGTAATAATAAAACGACGAGGTAATTGGTCTGTGGCAGTTGTCCAAGCCTTTAAAATAATGCCTGCGTTTTGTCAAAATTATCATCAAATGACATCCAACTTAAACAAATTTATTTTCGTCAAGTAATCGTAAAATAAGGGACTGTCTGTAATTACGTACCGTACAATTCATCATTTTTTGAACCCCCTCCTCACGTAAAACTCCTTAATATCCGGCCCGAACACTCCCCTCTCCCATTTTCGTTACGTACCGTGCGTGCATTGTAAAGCTTTGATATTGAATTAAAAAAAATTATATTTCCAACTAGCTGACCCGGCAGACTTCGTACTGCCTCAATCGATACTACAGATGGCGTTTACCGCGCCATTTGTGGTTTTTCCTAAAACGCGCTGTTAAGACAGCAGGTAAAAGTTGGTCTGTGTTCTGTCGGAGCTGTCTGCGACGCGCTGATGAGATCCAAAGAGATCGAAATCGTGATCCGCGACTGGCAGTTTCGACAGAATACAGACCACTTCGAAGTATTTCATTTGTTTAACATCTTTACAAAAAAAGTTATATGGCGCACCTTCAGGAATAAAAATTTTTAAGCAATAATTTACCCATAATTGCTAACTAACCTTCTATTGGGTATTAGTAGATCAGTGTAAGCCATTCTTTAATGTTTATTCTGTGGTTGAACCTAAGTCACAAATCACAACCTAACCTAACCTAACCTAAATCACAAATAAGTGCCAACTGCATTGTTAAGTTGCAAAATTATCCAAAATCCTTTTCCAAAAATTTAATGTCTATTTCATGGGGAATCTAGACAATGACAATCGGTCGAAGAAAGATTTTGCCAAATTCCGAAAGCGTTACATAATAGGTNCATCCGTTCTCGAGTTTTAGCGAGACTAACGAACAGCAATTCATTTTTATATATATAGAAGATAGAAGATAGAAGATAGATAGATAATAATAACGATTACATTTATTTAATCAACATTAAAGTGTGGTATTGCATTACCAAACGGTGTAAATTCATTTGTAAGGTGGCAGAATTATTCTATCTTTGCTTAGGCAGTGTCAAAGGGGTAGGTAGATAATTCAGGGGCAGAGTGGTGGAGAACACTGTCACCTAATTTAGTTTTAACTGAATAAATCAAAATATAGTCAAGATTATAATGTAAATTACATATTAGGTGTAGAATTTAGGCTCAAGATCTCCTATCTCCTGTACAGCCTCTTCCCCATTAGGTTATGACCCGTCCCTATATTCCATAATTGGTACATGACTGAACCCTATTTCCCTAAGCCTCTTTTTATTGTGATGCGAGCCACTTTTATAAAGTATGCAAGGAAACATTTATTTCATTTCGTTTTTACATTATTTTTACATTTTTGAAAAGAAGAAAATCGTAAAACAGCAACATGACTTGGCAGGATGTCAAAAAAGGACAAACACTGGAATTTTAAATATTACAAAATACGAGTACGTAACTACATTACAAAACGGTAATTTTTGTTTCAGTTTACAAGACAAAGGTTTCTTATTGTCACTGCTGAGACAGCACATTCTTTAAAAAAAATATCAAAACATTTTTAATAAATTATATTTTAATCTAGCTAAACATTTAGTTAGAGCCACTAATGAAAGCAATTATTCTTTCTTAGATGCTTAAGCGTATTCTAGAATGCTAAATTTTACATCTGTAATTTGAATCTTTTTCTGAAGTCGTTAAAAGTAAGCAAAACATACCAAAAGTAACACTACAAAAACTTTATTACATGAAGTAAAAAGAAAAGAAATTGACGTTGGAGTTATTCTATTCTATAAATTTTAATGAAACTCACCTTAAAAATACAATACTTTAAAGTTTCAGTTTAAAGTAGCCCCGAGTATAAGACCCATAACGCGAAGAGTAGAACTATCAAAATGAGATATGTCGTGATAAGATTTTTTGTTTCTGAGGGATGCGCAGGCATTTTGTTGGATTTTATCTGAAAAAAAGGGAAATTATAAAACTAAAAGACAGTCGAACTTCTGTTAACTTGAACTTCCAGAACTCAAAATCTTTTCCAATCTTTTCCAATTCGAATATTTTTTTATTCATTTAACGCCTTAATATATATTGTCTTATATTTATTCCAAAACCTTTCACTCGAAAGGAACAAAAAAAGAGGCAGAATAATTGCATCAAAGGGGTTTTATGATTATTTTATGAACTGAGATTGCCTACTCAAAAACGTACCCTTCAAAAAAGGGACACTTCTAGTTTTATCATTTTTAGACGCCAAACTACCATATTCAATCATAAAACCCCTTTAACGTAGTTGTTCAATATTTTCAATTGTCTCTATTCAATAGCGTACTTTCTGTTTATTGATTTTTTCTCTAATGCGAGATTCGAATGTGGGTGTTACATTAGTTATAAATTGCCTCTATTTCGAATTTCTATTAATTTTCTTCGGAAAAATCAGCCGCAGTGATAATCAGCGCCTCAAATTTTTAGCGGAATTATACCACTATAAAAAATTTTTATGGAAGAGCAGAAATTTTCCTTCAATAGGATATACTTGTATATAACTGGTTATATTTAGAAGATTCCAGTTAGCGATGTTTTGGTTTTAAATATTCGAGTTTTATTTATCTGATAAGATTTCTTTTATAAAAATAGATAGACTTTAAAATTATAATAATTTTAGGAAGAAATATGTACCATATAACTTCCCTAATATTATTACAATCTATACATATATTATTGCTATAAACTTTTTGTGTCTGTATACTGAAAAGTATTTGGAGATAAAAGATACGTGATAAAGCTTAAACCATTTTGGAATTTTTATTTTCCCAATTTTCCAGCGAAATTGGAATTTATATCATTCAAAATGTAGACCAGTACGTAAACTATAGATGTACACAAATAAAAATCTTGTATATCCATTTTCAATTTCCAGCCGATGCAATACCTGTTTTTCTTATATTAAGTAAAGTAAAAATGGTCACATGCTATATTAGTAGAAAATAATTGTATAACAGATATCCCATGGGAATTATTCAAGGCTATTATTATTGTATTTAAGAATTTGCTCAGGGAAGAATTGAGTGGCTACCATACTTCAACATCAGAAGAACTGGTAACAAATGAAACCTATTAAATTGTAAATAGTATCAGATCAAATGTTAAGTAAAGTATTGCATAACTGGTTGACAAATTGGTAATTAAACTTTCGCGGCCAGTTGGTGAACTGGTGTTGTCCTTATGACATTTCAATCTGAATCAGGACACACCAGTTCATTAACTGATGGTTGTTCAAGTAATTAACTATAATTTCGCATGAGAAAATCTGAAATGTTTTCTTTAGGAAACAATTTGAGTAATTTGCCAAAGGGTCGGAATTAGGGCGGATTCTCCCGACATCTCATATGATATCCGGTTTCACGTCAAGGTAAAGTTTTATGCATAATTTATAAGTAAAATACCGCGTTTGACTACATTTGTTTTGGTTTCATGCGATCTTATACTATTGGCAAATAGTTAGGGATGTTCTAATAGTTTCAAGGAAATGTGTACTGAAATAATCTTTAGATTGACGAACTTATGATGATGATGTTGAGTATCAATCTTGCTGAAATTTGTTTTTTTACGGTAAAATTGTTCATGTTGCCTCATTTTTGTTTATTCTCTTTCTAAATTCGTATCCAATATGCTGCACATTAAATACAATCAATTTGAGACATTCTGGTAATAAAATTTAGTTCGGAATTGATGCCTTCATTTGAATCGGTTGGGATAATTCTTGTTTCGCATTCGTTTGGTTCTTGTCGATAATGCATAATAAGGAAGCACACGTTTTCTCTTCCACGATTATTTATTAGAGTGATTAATGGTTATGATACGTACAAAAACTTGAAATTAAGCCAAATCGTTTTGGCAAAGCGGATTCATAACATTTGTTGATATTGAAACACTTATTTCGTATTATTACTGATATTTTAGGTCAAAGATATAAATTAACGGTAGCATTTTACAAGTAAAAAAAATATGTCTGAAAATTATATGAAAAAGTACATGAACAGCACATATATAGAGTGGTAAATTAATTCAGTTTACACTAACTTACGTTAAGTAGTAAAAAGTAAAAGACTTGTGCTAATAAGGGTCGGTTTGGTTCCTGCTGAACCTAAAAAATATTCTAAAGTAGAACCGTGTATCTTTTACAATAATTTAGGATAAATATTTTCGTATCCGATACTCAAGGTAATACTTTTTGTTTTATACTGTCTACGTTAATTTTGGATTTGCTTAAAATATGAAGTGATGGGGTTACCTACAACTTTACTTTTTAAACATGTTAATCCTTGCTAACTATATTGTTGCAAATAAAAAATAAATTAAAACAGCCTTAAGAAATCCAGAAACCCAAAAAGTGGTAACGTCAAAAAAGGGTTTCCAGACGCATGTTTCTAATAAAGTTATTTCAATATCTACTTTATTTGGTGGTGGACATTATTAATTGTTGAAAATAATTTGATAATGTGTGTAAAAGACCTATTAGTTTCAATAAGATTTATTGCAAATTATAACAATATTGTTATATTATACTATGACTTCATCAGATGATAATCTAATACATCGTCGCATGAATTACGCAATGTTCCATGTACACTTTTGAACAAAAATTAGATTTTCCGATCAGGACATGCAAAAAAGTTTTCTGATTTGATGAGTCCAAAAATTATCTTAATTGGTCCAGAGGTGTAGTTTTTACGCTGTTTTACGTGACGATAAAATTAAGCACATAAAATTTTCAATAAATGAATGTCAGCAACTCAGAAAGAAAATATGGAGGCTTTAATTAGTGATTACCATAAGATCTAAGCATTGGTAAATTGGTATAATGTTATAGAAAAAATATTGGGTTGATTGTTTTTTAGCAGAAACTTTATCGTTAGATATACTTACATTAGAAAATCTAACAAAAAAAAACTTTAATAAATTCACAGTTAATTTAGTGTTATCGTGGTTTTATTCAATTTTGATTTTTGTACATTTAAATAAAATGTACAGATATTATCTGGGAGATCCGACACTTTTTTTAAAATCCGGTCGGGTACCGGATAACTACACCAGATACTCGACAGTGGCGGGTAATTCTTTCAGCGTAAGAAAAAGCAAAAACAGGCAATGATTGTAATTAACAGATGGTCTTGCAGTTTTGTCAATATATTATCTCTATTAGTCTTGAATATAAATCAAGAATGAAAAACTCAGCGTAAAGTTTATGTTATGTAAATAAAAAGTGTTCTTTAATATGCATTTCTTGTATTAGATATGTACACCTATACAAGGTGCTTCCAAAATTTCTAATTTTTGTGAAATCGGATATTTGTTGAATAAGTCATCTATTTATGTTTATCATGTCTATACTGTGCACTGAAAGTGTAAGCACTTAACTTTATTGTGAAATGTTGTGAGTGTTCTAAAATGAACTATTTGATCGATTAAAAATTATTCTAAACTGTTACGAATAAGTCTTGTAAAAACAAAAACCTATCTCGTTAGAATAAGACCAAGGTCATGACATACTGCCGAAACGCAAGACCAAGGTCAAAAGTAAATGATATACTAGACCAAGACCAAAAACAAAACTACATTAGTCTTGTAATAGTCATTTGCTCATCATCACTACCAAAGTTATTACAATACGAATTTTTCTCAGAAATATCAAAATAAAAATGTTTTTTCTTCAATAATATGACATAACAAACTTTATTGTATCATAAATCTATATACCAAGTGAAATCTTGAGAATACTTTTAAAAATAGATCAAACATCGGTATGCGTTTATTTATTATTCATTTGTTAGTACTGTTTACAGAAACCCAGTTTCATGTCCGACAAATTCGTAAAATCAAGTTTAAAATAAGTTACAGAACCAACAGAAATCGTTTATTTCGTTTGTCGAGCAAACTGATTCACAAAAATATCTTGAATTCTGGATATTTTCCAAACTATTTGAAGCATATCAGATTATCAGTACTTTTAAAGTGTTCTGGTACCTCACTACTTTAAATATGCTCTTTCATTAAATATATTACTGGGTACATCAAAAACGATTAGTTATTCTTTCTTCCTATATTAAAATTTATTTATTTACTTCTATAATTTTCCGGAAGACTGAAATTAGTTCATATTCGTTAAATGTGACAGAAAAAGGGTGTTGTTAAATGTTGGTACTTATTGTAAGCTGCGATAATTAATTTTTTTGGCTCTAAATGTTTAAGTTTGAGTAATTTAAACTCTTTCATGTTTTGTTTTTGAATAATTTCTGAAATTATTTTTCCGAGTTCTTGCCAAAATCAACAGCATAAAATAACCCGTTCTCCGCGATCAATATTCTGACAGCGTTATTCAATAATACGTGCAATTTGAAAACTACACCTAACAATTACAAAACAAACACTCAGTTTGTACTAACTTTTCATGAAAAAAAAAAAACAATCCGTAAAAAGATATTTTTTTATTAATAAAGATTGAGATGGTGTTTGTTACCTGTGCTTAAAAAGCTGAAAAAATGCGAACTATTCACTGCTTAATGCAACTTTTCACAGTAGTATTTTTATCTACTAGCACATTACTAACACAACAGCTTTCAGTATTATGCTGACGGTGGAATAATTTTACCATCTCCCCAACTGGACTCTACCTACTGATGATGTCACTGGCTAGCAAAAATAAAAATAAAGACCTAAAAAAAAAACGTTTTTGTAAATACATGTATAGGTGGTGTTTGCTGCATTTGGATATTCTTAAATGGAATTAAAAAATGTATGCATTCGTTAATTAATTGATTGTATTTAAAGCTGGTTAAGTAGGTATTTAATAATTAGTTGTTATCTATCTACAAAAATCTTCCTTATCGTCCTTATTCAACCTTCGTACATGTGAAATAAAAACAAACTGATGCTGTCTTGATTAGGGTTTAAAGGCCGTAGTCAGTTGTATTAGCTTCCTAGCTTCGCTAGCACGAGTGGCAAACTTCTTCAGAGGTTTTTCCATCTCCGATACTGGATGTGGACGTGGATTTGGCTGTTATGGATAATTCGTCAAAATATCAAAAGACATTTCTGCCTATCTAGATCTTGTACACTTTTACTTCGAACTCCACCAATGTATGCTTTTTAAATCTAGTAATTGGATTTCAAATGAACCAGCAGTGATATTAAATGAAGTAAAATATAGCTCTTTGCTGTTTGATTTGAGAAAATTCGCAAATTCAAGATAGGCTTATTTATATTGAACAAATCAAATTGCATAGTTAACAACTATTCTAAACAAAAATAATGTAAATTAAACATCAATTTAATTCTATAAATTCGTGGAAATTACGTAGTAAATTTTGTTTCAGCTATCGCTATTTATAGTAAAATTAAGTTCTCCATCATTTAGGGTTCCTCAGAATAATTGTATTTCTATGCGTGAGCTAATTCCTTAGTAAACGCTATTTAAAAATAATAAATAAATTAAGGAGGCTTTTTCAGTTTAATTTATTTCATGTCATTGAGAGTTAACATTGGAAACAAAAGTTTCAACAAAGAATAAAATGTCTCATTTACGACCACATACATCTTTGTCTTATAAAATTAGTAATCATGAAACAGCAGATGATGATACAGACAGCGAGGTAAGAAAAACTAATTAAAATTTTATTTAAAGAATCCACTAGGTGTTGGAATAAACTTACATTGACACAAGCACATATTTATTGACATGTTTATTTAATTATGACGTCGTATGTCGCACAAGAGCAACTAAAAATATTAAAAAAAAATTTTTGTCTCTACCGTGGGCTTAGGAATATAGGAACGGAGCATAAGTATCATTGTAGATGAGGGGAATGAATCGTCTCAGGGAGGATAGGTGATGTTAATGCATTGGTCTAGACCAGGGTTGAGCAATATACGACCCGTTAAATGTTCTCGAAGACTTTTAAATGGAAGTGATTGACATGCAGATTAATACCGATTTAAAAAAATTTTTCTTTTAATTTTTTTTTTATTATACATTT